GTTGAACCAAACTTTCAAGCAACAACACACATTCTTCTCAACAGCACATGAGACTTTCTCCAAAACAGACCATATGCTAGCCCATAAAGCATGTTTAAGTAAATACAAAAGAATCTTAACTACCCCATGCATATTCTATACAGTGCAATGAAATTAGAAATGAATGGCAAAAGAAATCACATAAATTATGCAAACATGAAAATTAAGCAATACGTTCTTGAATAATCAATGGATCACAAAAGAAATCAAGGAAGAAATTAGATAAAAGTCAAATGACAATGCCAGTACAACATACCAGAACTTCTGGGACACAATGAAAGCAGTCTTAAGAGGGAAGTTTATAGTTGTGAATGGCCACATAAGAAGAACAGAGCAGGGCTAGGGATTTGGCTCAGTGGTTTTGCTGCCTGCCTGGCAAGCACAAGGTCCCAAGTTTGATCCTCAGTACCAAAAAACAAACAAACAAAAAAAAACAGAGCAAGTCCAAATAAATTACCTAATGATGCACCTCAAAGTCCTAGAGAAACAAGAACAACCCAATTCAAAAGCTAGTACAAGGAAGGAAATTATATAGATCAGAACAGAAATTAATGAAATGGAGACTAAAAAGAATAGAATCAATGAATCAGAAGAAACCATCAACAAATGAATAGTTTTTGAAAGAATAAACCCTTAGCCAATCTCATGCAAGTAAAGAAAAGACCCAAATTAATGAAATTAGAAATCAAAAGGGAGAAATCACAATGGTCTCAGCTGAAATCCAGATTATCAGTAACTACTTTGAGATCCTGTACTCTAATAAAATGCAGAATTCAAAAGAAATGGATAAATTCCTAGATATATATGACCTACCAAAGTTGAACCAAAAATATATGAAATCCCTGAATAATCCAATATCAGGCAATGAGACTGAAGAAGTAATAAACTACAAACTAAGAAAAGCGCAGGCTGGGTGTGAAGCACAGCTGTAATCCCAACACTAGGGAGGCTGAGGCGGGAAGATCACCTTGAGTTCAAGGCCAGTCTGAACCAGGTAATAAGACTCTATCTCAAAAAAAAAAAAAGCCCAAGTTCCAGTGCATTCACTGCCAGATTCTATACGAATTTTAGAGATCTATGATAATACTCATCTCAAACTTTTCAATGAAATCAAAAGAGATGGAATACTTCCAAAGTCATTATGCTGATTCCAGAACAGGATCCAACCAAAAAAGAGAGTTAACTATAGCCCAATCTCTCTAATGAACATAGATGCAAAAATCCTCAATGGGACAGTAGCATACAGAATGCAACAAGTCATCAAAAAAGCCATACATTATAACCAAGTAGGATTCATCCCAGGGATGCAGGGATGGCTTGTGTTATGGCTTGTGTCTAGATGTCCCTCCAAAGCCTCATGTGGTGAGGCTTCTCGGAGGTGGCTGGATGTAGGGTTTGTGATGCTGCAATTAAGTGTGTGATGCTGGGATCAAAGGTATGTGATTACTAAATTAGTCCACTGATAGGTTTGGCACAGTTCTAGGTATGGATAATGGGAAGGCCCACCCTAAGGGGTCGCATATTCCACCCTGGATGGAATATCAGGGACAGATAGAGGGCTGCTACAGTCACTCACTTCTTCACTACTTCACTGCTTTGCTGCCTTCTGCTTACCATGAATTGTTTCCCCTCTCTGATGCCCTTCTGCCCTGCCACCCTGCTTGGAACCAACCAACTATGAACTGAAACCTCTACAAACTGTGAGCTACAATAAACCTTTCCTCCTTTAAGTTTGGGTGGTGGATATTTTGTCTCAGCAAAAGAAAAGTAACTAGAACAATACAACAAATCAATAAACGTAATACATCACATCAACAGAAGCAAAGACAAAAATCACATGATTATCTCAATTGATGGAGAAAAAGCCTTTGACAAAATCCAACATTCATTCATGTTAAAAACCTTCAAAAAGCTGGGCTTGGTGGCGCATACTTGTAATTCGGCACTTGGGAGGCTGAGGTAGGACTGTCCTGAGTTCAAGACCAGCCTGAACTACACAGCAAGACCTTGTCTCAAAAAGGGGGGAAAAAACCTCCAAGGAAACAGGTACAGAAGAAATCTGTATCTTAATCTGATAGAAGCCATTTATAACAAACCAATAGGCAACATCATATTAAATGTGGAGAAGCTGAAAGCTTCCCCTTTAAAATTAGGAACAAGACAGGGAAGTGGTCTCTCACCACTACAGTTCAATATAGGTTTTGAAACATTAGCCAGAGCAATCAGGTAAGGCAAAGAAATAAAAAGGATGTGTATAGGAAGGTAAAAAGTCAAATTATTTACAAATGACATAATCCTTTACACATAAAACCAAAGAAATTCCACCAATATAGTGCTATAATTAAATTCAGTAGCATGACAGAATACAGAGTCAACACAGAAAAATCTATAGCATTTCTGTATACCAATAAAGTCTCTGAAAAATTAGGGAAACAATACCTTTCACAATATCATCAAGAAAAGTCAAGTACTTAGGAATTAACCTAGCCAAAGAAGTAAAAAAACCCCTGCACAACAAAAACTACAGTACTCTGAAAAAGGAGAAATAGATTATTTTTTTTGGAACCAGGGATCAAACTCAGGTCCTTGCGCTTGTGAAGCAGGTGGTGGAACCACTGAGCTAAATCCCTGGCCCAAGGAGATATAGATTTAATGCAATCCCATCAAAATATCAATAGTATTCCTCAACAAACTACAGAAAAATAATCCTAAAATTCATATAGAACCAGAAGAGAACTAGAATAGCAAAACCAATTTTGGGCAAGAAGAGTAAGGCAGGAGGCATCAGAATCCCAGGATTCAAGTTATACTACAAAACAGCAGTAATAAAAAAAGTATGGTGGGGCAATAAAAAAAAGAAAAAGGAGAAACCAGACATGTGAACCAATGGAACAGAAAAATGGATACAGAAACAGCTGCCACTGGGGAAAACTCCCTATCCATATGCAGAAGATTGAATTTAGACCAGTATCTCTCATCATGCACTAAATTAAAATCAAAATGGATCAAAAATCTAAACATTAAAGCAAACACTGTGCCAGAAGATAAAGTAGTTGTAAAACTCTTGAAGACATACGTATAGGCAAAGACTTTACGAACAGAGCCTCAAATGCATAAGAAATAATACCAAGAATCAACAATGGGATCATAATCAAATTAAAAAGCTTCTGTACAACAAAGGAAACAACAAAGTGAAGAGACAAAAACTTTTATCAACTATTCCTTGGACTAACATTCTAGAAGATCTAGAATATATGAAGACCTTAGAAAAATTAGATCTCCAAAATGAAAGATCCAATCAATGGGCCAGGGATGTAGCTCAGCAGCACTGCGCCTGCCTGGCAAGCACAAGGTCCTGAGTTCGATCCCCCATATTGAGGTGGGAAGGCACACGTTCCAATAAAAAAATGGGCAGCTGAAATGAATAGACTTCTCAGAAGAAAAACAAATGGCCAATGAATACACGAAAAAATGTCCAACACCTCTGGCTATTACAAAAATGCAAATTAAAACAACAGCAATATTCCATCTTACTCCAGAAAAGAACAGGTCTCATCAAGATCATCAAATAAATGCTGGCACAACTATGGAGGAAAGGGAACCCTTCTACATTACTGGTGGGAATATAAACTGATAGCACCACTATGAAAATCTGTATGGAGATTCCTCAAAAAACTAAAACTAGAAATCCCATTAGGCTCAGCTATTCTCCTTCTAGGTATCTTCCTAAAAGAATTAAAAACATCATTCTACAGTGATACATACATACCAGTGTTTGTAGCAGCACAATTCACAATAGCTAAGTCCTAGAAGTGGCCTATGTATATCTATCAGCAAAGGACTGGATGAAGAAAAGGTGGTATTTATACACAATGGAGTACTACTCTGACATAAACAAGGATAAACGAGTCATTTGGAGGAAAATGGATGCACCTTGAGATCATAATGTTAAAGTGAAATAAATCAGACATATAAACAAATATTTCATGGTTTCTTTTATGAGAAATTCAAAATACAAATAAAGATCAAAATAAAAGATGATAGGGGCCAGGGATTTAGCTCAGTGGCACAGCACATGCAAAAAAAGTTAAAATAAAAGATGATTAATAGGAAATAGTGAGATAGATCTTTTACATATGGGAAGAGGACCCAGAGATGGAGGGTGGGGAAGGGGATTTAAAAAAAAAAAAAGATGTTATGTAAATGTACCAACTCCTCATAAGGAATGTGATCATTACGTGCTACAAACATGTACTAATAAAAAAATAATAATAACAATACCCTCCCAAAAAAGTCATCATGTTTTGTTTTGTCTTTTTTGGCAGTACTTGAGAATTAGACCCAAGGACTTCACAGTGAACTACATCCCCAGCCCTTTTTATTCTAAGATGGGGTCTCACTAAATCACTAAATTGCCCAGGCTGGATCTGAACTTGTAATCTCTTGCCTCAACATCCCAGAGCTGAGGTTGTGTACACCACCACACTCAGCTCCGTGAAGTTTTAATGTATTCACTGTCTAACCATTTGGACTCTGAAGAGAGTCCTTCGACAAGATTATTGACTATTCCATGGTCCCGGGGTGACTGTTTTCCGGGGCCTTCCTTGGTTATTCACAATGCAATAGAAAGTGGACCAGGAGCTGGGGATGCCATGGTGACCAGTCCAGGGCTAAGTCATTGCCCTCATGGAGGTGATATTACCTGCACAAAGAGGTTCAGAAACCAAAACTCACAAGAGCAGAAATGGAAAGCTGAAGAAACAATAGAAAAAAGATGGAAAGATAGGAAAATAGAGGAAGAGTTCATATGGCTCAGGGGTACAGCACTTGCCTAGTGCGTGTATGAGGCCCTGGTTTCCATCCCCAGCACTGCCTGCCCCCCGCCAAAGCAGTCTGTCCATCAGCAGTAGTGGGGAGACTGGGTTCTCCCTGAGCCTGCCAGGAGCCCTCAGAACACTCACAGCATGGCGATGCCCCAGTGCTTTCCAGCCCTCTCTCCAGCTGCCTGGAAACCAGAGAGTCCGATGAGGGCCACTGTGGGTGTGATGGTCAGTGGCCCAATGTATCGCAGCAGAGCCCCAGGCAGGCCAAGGAGCCCAATGACCACTTCTATCAATGAGGACATGATGATGGCACCCTGGATCTGAAAGAGATGGAACAGATACAAGAGTGAGCAGTGGAGATGTCAAACACTCTGAATATCACCTGCAACCATAACTGACAATTCTGCAAGCCAACAACTTATTACAACACATGGCAGGCACAACAGTTGGCAAGTCCCTGGGACCCCACCAAAGATTCAGTGGAGCAAAGGCGGCCGAGCAAACTTGAGTGTGACATCCCTGAAGGAAGAATGACAGAATGGGGCACTGGACTCAAGGCTTTTTCCACTGGTGAGACAGAAAAATTCCCATTCGAAACATATTTTGAAACTAGCTTTCCAGGGCTGGGGATTTAGCTCAGTGGTTCCGCTGCCTGCCCTGCAAGCAGAAAGACCTGAGTTCGATCCCCGGTCAATAAAACAAAACAAAACAAAACAAAAACACCAAAAAACCAGCTTTCCAGGAACACCTCAGTACTCAGACTCTGTGCTCTTGGAGCATATTTAAAAGATAAAATTTCCTGGTTTTTTTGGTACCAGGGATCGAACTCAGAACCTCATGCTTGCAAGGCAGGCAGCGGCACCACTGAGCTAAATCCCTGGCCCTAAAAGATAAAATTTCTAAAGGAATTCTATTACACAGATGCACTGTGCTAAATTCTAATGATCTCTTGGGTTTGGGAAAATATGAACACACTATTAGCTGTTTTTCGTGTCTAGCGACTGCCAAGCACTGCTCTTGTTCAAGTGAGCTTTGGCAGACAAGTATCTGTGGTGTTTTCAACAAACAGAGGCTGGCGCTGGGGCCAGTAGGACCCATTCTGCTGTCCGTTGACAGTGTCAGTAGTTCCTGAGTCTGGAGCCTCAGCCGGCTGCGGGTGCACTGAAGAGCGTGAGCCAGCAGATCTGTGGGTATGCAGGCACAGAGCCATCACAAAATATAGTAGAACAATGGAAATAAACACCTCATAGTTGAAAATGAAAAGAAGGCCTTAGTAAAAGCAACTGCAATTTCTTGGACGCAACCACCACCGAAGCCAAGAAGAAACACAAAGAAGCCACAAGTGGACAGTGATTGTCCTTTACCTCTTTGATCCGCGGATACCAGATGCGTTCTGTCTGCAACAGCTCTGCTGTTCCATTGGCAACTGAAACATCTTGAAAACAAAAACAAAGACAAAGGTTTTCTTGGAGTGACACTGCTATTTTATAGGACGTGTTCATTTTATCCTTTAAGAAGCATCTCCCCCCTGTTACAAGTACATTGGTATCATTACCTATCTCTAAAATTGAACCTGCAACAGTAGGGCTTGTCATACTGCAAGGTGGATCCCCAGCACTAATTTAACCGAATGTACTCATCCACTAGAGCTCCCCAATGTGTCAAAAGCTGACGGAAGTGGTGCTACCCATTACTAGTATCAGCTTCATGAAGAAACCAACCTTTTCAAGCAGCTAACGGAAATGTCCGACAGCAAGATTGCTGGACTGAGGTTGTAAAACCTTAGATAAAAGAGGTCTTTTTCCAATTCCTAAGTCAAATTAATGGTCACAAAGTAACTCCTAGGAGCAAGGAAGGAAATGAAGGCTGGAAAGCATGGCTCCTAGAACCTCAAAATATAACTGTATTTTCAGAGTATGTATGACAGGTCTGACTTAGATTTTCTCAAATTTTCTTATCTTTTCCTGACCCGATCAAGTTCCTTAAGGATCTCTGCAATCACTAAGGAAGGGGAATGAAAGTCATTTGGAGAAAACCACAGCAGCCAGATCCTTAAAAAGCAAAGATGATCCACAGAAGGGATGCTGACGCAGCCAAGAGAGTGATTACAGGTGGGTCATAAAATCCACTGAAAGAGAGAGGCAGGAAAATAGCACAAATGTTTTTTTACTCCTTTCCCATATTTATCACTTTCATTAGCATAGAGAAATGAGGTCATTTCTGGTCCTTACTTGCTCTAGGGTTAGGGATGAACAAGTGGATAGAAAGAGAGAGACAGACACGGTCCACAGGTTGGAGCACTCTAGGCTGTTTATGGGTCAGTGTACTCTGTGTCTAATTTCAGAAGGAGCGAACGTCGCTCAGGGCAGCATGTCCAGGCCTCCCTTTTATCACCTGCATTAAAGGACCCCAATGACATATGTGGAAATAACTGCAATTACCTGTGGTGTTACATTTCCATTTATCTAAAGACAGGATGGCTCGAGCAGGGGCCAAAAATGCAAAAGCACTGGCCTGAAACAGGGGTAACCTAAAAGAAACGAGACCAAAACCATGATCACGGCATCGGGAACTACCGAGGTAGTTCACTATTTGCAGCTTAACAGTCTTTTCCATAGACACATAGCACATGAGTAACGCAGGCACACCTGGAAGAAAGCCCCGCTCTGCACAGATCTATGGGCATTCCATCCTCCCCTCCTGCCATTCTGTCCCCAGGCAGCTCCAGGGGAACCCTGTGGTCAGTGCCAGCACCCCAACACCAGCCCCTGCCATGGCCAGTCCCTGCCATTGCCACCTTTCCCCTTGGGGGTGGGGGCTGTCCCTAGGAAACATCAATGCACATCTGCTACGTCTCCCCTCCCCCACTTCAAGCTCTTATCAGTTACCACCGGAAAAAACCTATCTCCCTCTGCTGTTCCATTTTGTGAGTCAAAAACCACTGTAGTCATAAAAATATTAAAATCATTAAAGTAATAAAATCATGTTAGTGATCTAGCTATATCAAGAAGGAAAGCTGTAAGTTACAAAGTGGCAGTAGATATCATAAATATGTTGCTTAATCATAAAAAATACTTAGGTGTTCTAACATATTTCAAAGGGCCGAGAAGGCTGGCAGACTCTCCATTAAACTTCCTGTCTATCTCCTCAAATTAAATGCAGAGATCCCCAAATGCCACCATTCAGTTATACTTTGGATAATTCACATTGACTTTATGAATAATTTAGCTACTCAAAGATTTTGTCATTTTTATTGGAAATGTACATCACTTTAGCTAAGTTGTATTAGAGTGCCTCTGTTGGTTAGCATGAGAATTTAATCATTTTTTTTTTCCATTAGTTGGAGGTAAAATATAAAACTGCCTTCTGCTGTTTACCGGGGAAAGAACTGCCAGGCATCCAGTTCCTTAACTGCCCCATGCCACTTTGCCAATGAGACAGGAACCCAGCCTCCTCCCGTCTGACCTGGGACAGCAATTCCTGCCCCCAGCAAAATGAAACAGGACTGTGAAGCGGAAGTGGCTCTGACCAAAGGACAAGTGGCTGCTTTGTAAGTCCAGAGCCCAGTACAACCCATTCTAAGCCATATGAGAATCAATACTTCTTTGTCATGATGCCCTCCTGGGCAATTTAGTCATACAATGAAATCAACCAAGTAGGCAGGATGCGTTTTAGGACAGAGGTGAGCCACATGGTAAAATCAGATGTACTGCTGGCGGCCATTCGCAGGGGCACTCCCGCCACCAACCATCCAGTTATAATTACCTGCCTGAGAGTCCTCAGCACAGAGCTGTCAAGAGTGAAAGTGAAGGTCACCTAAAGCAGGGAAAGTACTTCAAAAGGGGAACATCAGGTGCCTTGTGCAATTCTTTAGGCACAAATCTTCAGGAACACACTGCAGGGGTGAAGGGGGTCAGCATGCCATTAGAAATGGATGCAAATCATGTCTATTTTACAGCAGAATCATGGTGATTTTATGTCCAAAGCATGTCTATTTTATGAAACTTTCAAATTGCAAGCAAGGTATCCTTGGGGAATGTAATATGAGCAGCGAGTATCATTCAGAGAGCTTGTACTTGGGAATATCACCACCACACTGCACCAGTGAGTTCCTAGAAGTGGCAGAAGTCAAGACTGGCTCTGGGTTTCATTTCTCAGTCAACTTCAGTCTGAAGCTGATCTTGGCACCTTTCAGGGCAAGCATTTTATGGCTTATCTAGGACAAAAGGCCAGAAGAGCACTGCTCAAAGAACCTCCCACACTGGCCCAGGACCCTGGGCTGCTGAGAGTGGGTGGCACCAGTGAAAGCCTCCCAGGATGATCTGGGAGGAACTGTCCAGGCCACATCACATGCTCACCACTGGGCCTGCACAGGCTGGCAATGCCTGCTAGGCAGTGTGGCTCTAAAACCAGCAGCACAGGTCAGCAGCCTGAATGCAACAATCTCAGGGAAGCTATGGTAAGATCACATGAATGCATTAAGTGGCACTTTCCCAGATCATGGGTGGCAGAGCTATTTTCCAGCTGATGAGCAATGTCCTGAAGCCGGTCAATCCTTGGCTCCTCTGCACCCACAGCAGGCTCTGCCTGGGAACACCAAGCCCATGCTTTGAACATCATTTCTAGGCAACGCTGAGCCTGAGGACCCCTGTGTTGGGTGAGGGACTCATTACTTTGTCATTTCATAAACATTTCTTGAGTATCTGCCTGACATAGACATAATAAAAGCAGATACAACAGTGGGAGAAACTACGTGCCCTTAACCGAAGAGCAGCAATGTGGACGGTGCGGGGTATTTACTGCAGGGCTCTGTGGGAGTAGGCACTTAATAAGCTGGTCTTGGGGAATGAGAAGCACTTTGTCACATGCAGAGGAGGCTGAGCCCTCCAGGCAGGAAGAAGAGAGGTGCAAAATGAGAGTCCCAGGACAGATCCATGACCCCTTGAGAATCATGTATACTTAACTAGGGGGAAGGCACAAGAAGAGACAGAGTAATGGTCACAGGGGACTGATGGAGGGTCCCTGCATTCTACTGAAGGGCCTTGCTCTGAAAGCATCACTTTAGGGGAGCTAGGACAGGTGATCTTACCCTGGAAGCTTCCCTTAGTCTTGAAAGAGCCAAACCACGGAGGAGGGTCTGACACAGCTTCACGTTTGGCCATTCTTTGCCCTACTGACTCCGGGCCAGCCAGGATCAGGTTCTGCCCATCCCTTGGCCTCTGACTTGGCCATTGTCTTTGCTGAGGTGCTCCTCAGGCTGATCTGCCTGACACCATTGAGACTGGGATCCTGACAGGAGCATTTGGGGCCATTTCACCACCACTGGATACTCAGACCCAACCAACAATGAACTGAAGGCACTGCTTATAAATGTTCTTTGAAAGGAATTCTGCTAGACTGGAAATAAAATGGATGAGCCCTCTTGATATGTTGATTTTTAACTGCAAATTTGCAAGAGAACACCATTTAAATTAAAAGCACTCAGTATAGAAATCAGAGGACATATGCATGAATTTCACAGTAAACTCAGATACAAAACCTCCTCTGGTGCCATCAGAGAAAGGTGGGAAGAAGCTGAGAAGCCTGTTAATCCCACAAGAAGCACGGTGAAGGTACAACATGTATCTGTCCAGAAACTAAACTGTTAAATGGAAAATAAGAATAGAACTCATCACAGATAGTGCTCTGTGCCTGGCTTCCTCAATCTACCGCAAGCAACCAAAGTTGGTACACAACCTTTCACTGCCAAATGAACACAGGCTTGAGTCTAGGCCCCAGGGCAAATTTAAACAGTAAGCTCTAAGAGATGTAAGTATATCTGGCTTTGAGGAGATACAGTTTCATCCATCTATCAACTACCAGAAGGGTGTCCTTAGTGGCTCTAAAGAAAAGCAAAGCACAATGTGTCAAAGAAAACTTTTTCTTAATTGGTAACATTTTCCTATTATTTATATGTGTATCCATCCATCCATTCATCCCTCTCCCCACCTCTCAGCGGAACTGTTAGAAAGTAGCTTGCACACCTACTGCATGTCATACTTCAGCAGGCATTTCTTAAGAATAAGCACACGCTAAAAAAAAAAAAGAATAAGTACACACTTCTACATCACTAGCTTCCCCTTAGCACACCCAGGAAAAGAACACTAATTTAATAATGTAATCTAATATCCAGGCATATTGAAATTTATTATTTTACCCGATGCATTCCAATATCCTATATAATGTTTTGTGTTTAGGGCACAGGTATTATGTACTGTTTGTTTGGGGGTTTTTGGGTACCAGGGATCGAACTCGGGACCTTGCGCTTGCGAGGCAGGCGCCGGAACCACTGAGCTAAATCCCTGGCCTATTATGTACTGTTACTATGTCACATCGGGACACCCTGCACGTCAGGATGTCCCACTAGGTCAGGATGCTTGCTTAGGGTAGTGACTGCTGTATGTAACTGTCCATTTGAAAAGTACTTTTTCCTATTTGTAATTAATAAATAATTTGTAGGGTGATTCTTAGACTATGTAGATGGCATGTTACCACCTGCTTTACACTCTACACAGGATTTAAATATTATAATTTTTCAATTTTATTATCCCATCTATATTTATTAATCAACATCTTTTTCCAAAGAAGTGCTTTCCTTTTTGTCCAATGTTATCTCCTCCTCCTTTCTAGTCTCTGAACATCACTGTAGACTGATGAATTCTCTTTTCACTCCAGGTTTTATAATTTTCTACCATGACTGTTCTTTTTTTTTTTTTTGGTACCAGGGATCGAACTCAGAACCTTATGCTTGCGAGGCAGGCGGTGGCAACACTGAGCTAAATCCCCAGGCCTACCATGACTGTTCTTAATAATTAAATTGTTCCAAATTTGTCCAAAGCAGCCTGTTCAAGCTAGTTTCTGTTCTTTTTGACAAAGCTGTCCTTGTTTGCCCTCTCTCCCTCATTCTTTGAGTAAGTCTGGCTTTTTGGCCTGAATTGGTCCAGGTTCAGTTTGTCCTTTCCTCAGTTCATACCGTGTAGTCCATCACTTTGCCAGGGAGTCCTGGCTCGTTATAACGGAGAATGGTGGTTAGGAACCAAGACCTGGGTTCTAGGTGGACTCGCTGTCACTGAGGTGCCACTGTTCCTAGCAATGCCTTTTAAAAAAAAAAAATCAGGCATCATAACGACACCCATGATTCAACCTACTACCACTAGACCTTTCTTCCTTTCCATATTTTTATCTCTCCCTTTCCTTTGGAAATCTCCTTTTCAAACACAATAGTATAACTATTCCAGGTCAAGGGTTTGTTAGCATACAAGACCTTTTCAACCTAAAGATCTGGCTAGGCACAGAGAGGCATGACAGAATTCTTCCCAGGCATGACAATGTCCTATGTGTTGATCACAGCAGTTGTGCGTGTGACTGCTCACATGAGTAGAAACTCACAAGACTGTACATATAGAAAGGTTGGATTTTACTATATGTCACTTACCCCTCAGTAGACAGTACTTTACAAAATTTTGTCTGCTAAGTATCTTCAGGGGGTGT